TATTGAAACTTTACCACCATGGATCAGATGTTGGGATCATCATTTAACTTGGGCACCTGTAACTGCGGTTGATTGCTCATTTTGATTACTTTTTCGTTCAGAAGTTCTCCAGCCTACCCAGATGTCCCTTCACACAGATCGGGTTGAAGCCAGGTATGCTAATATAGATATATGCCTCGTTTTGCGTTCTGCTTGAGCTGTTGAAACGGAGAACTTTATTGGAAGCAGGTTTCGCTTTGTTTTCCTTCAGATAGCGTTTCGCCAATCTGCCGAAGTTTCGAACCAGGCGGTCCAGCAAGCTGCTGTCTTCCTCCATTCCCGAAGTTTTACGTGTTTGCGTAGGCACAGGAGGATCGCTCGTCGGCCGCTGCCATTCTTCTCCTTGGTCGTCTTCGCTTTCGTTCTCGCTGTTACCGTGCAGTCCAATTTTCATATTCCGACTTTCATCGTCACTGATCTTGCTCATCAGCTGAAACGACAACGGTTGCATGCCGAAAGGCATCGGCAAGTAGATCCCGGCAGCGATGTCGTTTTCTTTCTGTAGATTTGCGTTCAAGCCACCGAAATGTCTGATGGTGTCCGCGATGTCTGCCACATTCGGCGTTTTCATGGCAGCGTCGACGCTTATGTCCTTCTGCTGCGTGTAGTACAGCCCTTTAGGCACCATGTACGTTTCGCCGTTGATGTCCATCTCGCCGAAAGCCTCAGGTGGAGGCGGAGGCACAGAATCCATCTCTCCTATCGTTAATCTTCCACTGTAATTCGTATCATCGGAAAGTGGAATGTCAAAGCCGCGAGAGAGGAAAGTTTCTTTTAAATTGGGCACGTGGTCTGCGAAAGCTCTCGACAGTACAGAACGTCTTCTTCGGCCGGGCGGTTTCAGGGAGCTCCTGTAAAATAACGGTTAACTTTCAAACTTAACACGGTAGCCGTTTCTAGACTGAAGTTTTGCGTACCTCGCCACATCGTGAGTTTCCTTTCTCAAAGTTGTGCTCCTCGCTGTCTACTAATCGGTTTAGTCATGCTTAAACTAATCAACACGTAGGTCCGCGGAAATCACGCAGTAGATTCTGATTAAAATTTTAATATTTCAGAGTCCATGGGATTCCTCACGACTAAGAGACAAATCAACGGTGCGATTATGCCGTGTGAATTCAGTGAACTAACAGGATAAACGGCGGCATTTTAAGTATGCTGTTGTATGCCCCAGAAACACTTCATTTAATGATAGTGTTGTTATTGGTATTATGACCCCCACTATCACTGGTTTAACCGGCTCAAATGACGTCCCTTATAGCTCCAGTCCCTTATCGCTCAGTCACGAGCGATGTCCACCACCAATTTCTGCTAGCCTTTCTTCCACCATTAGTATCCGTATACTGCCGTCCAGAAAAGAATTTAACGTCTGCTCTGACAGTATTCCACCTGTTCTCAATTTGGCCGCCTCTTTTCTAGTATCACCCATCGATCAGGGAGGTGAGGGAGGAGTTCAGTGTAATGGAAGTAGTACCCTGTGGTGAAAGTCTCAGCGCGTGCCT